CTTTCAGGTCACGGCTGTGGTGTGAAGACGAGTGAAAGAAGTAACGACAGTTATGCTGGAGTAACTGCTATTGTTCCAGGAAGCTGGACCCTGCCCCTCTTATCAGATACCTGCAGGGCATCCCAGACGACTCAGAGCATTTCACACCTCGACCGAACAAACCCAAATGGGTGAATGGGCGGGTCAACAACTCTCTGAGGCATCAGGAGAGGTTAAAAACCTCAGAAGTCACCAGAAGTCAGTCAGAACCGCACGACGAGAGGAAAGATGTCTTCAACCATGGGTAAGTCCAGGCTGCCTGTTTTCTAGCACTTAGATGTTCCCTAAACTTAAGTCATTCTTATTACAAACGTACAAAGTGATTCTTTTAATTCTATCACTACTTTCATCATCATCTATTCCAGACCTAACCTCATTTCTTCCAAAAAACTTACCAAGTTCAGAAATGAACTTAACATTTACATTTTTCTGAAGGCTTCTTTTTAAAACAAAAAGTAGAAACATTTTATTTTTAATAGTTGCTGAGATGAAGTGATGCAAAACCATCAGCATACACGTGATCTTGTCCTGTATCTTGGTGTTTGCCAAAGAAACATCATGCAGGCTTTGCTAATGACACAAACGTCCAGTTTGAAGCTCCAGTCAGTGCACGAAACGATAACCAACGGCGATAACTCATTTTCCTAATGAGTAAAGAAACTTTGATTGTGTTTCAGGGCCACACAGAAGAATTGAATTGTGTTTCTCATCGCATTGTTGCTCATACGTTTGTGATGTTTGTACCTTTCAGATATTCAGCAGCTGTTGCCAATCAAAGAAGAACCAGATGACTGGAGCCCTGATGTGGAGCAGCAAGTCCCACAGCTCCTCAGCATAAAGAAGGAAGAGGAGGAGGAAGTTGACATCACTGATTTCCCGCTCGCTGCTGCTGCGGTGAAGAGTGAAGATGAAGAGAAAGTGCACGCACTGTGTCATCATGTTAAAAATGAATATAAGGACGAGGAGGAGACTGAGACCTGCAGCTCAGGTAAAAAAACAAATTAAATTGAACTATGAAACTGCACCAACATTTTTCTCTGTGAGGAATCAGGTTTTATATTTTGTTAGTTTCACTTCAGTAATGTTATTAAATATGGAGGGTATTTTTAGGGCGAGGTTTAAGAACAAGTGATGAAATCCATTAAATACACTCGCCTCACTAATTTGATTTGTTTTATTTTAGTTTCTCTTCATTTTAACTGAGTTGGCTTTGATTAGATTGGATGATGTAACTCTGTGAGATGGGCTTTAGGTTAGAGTCCATTCTGCAGGATACTGGAAACCAGTGTCCCCATACACTCAGCATTTTGGCCTTTTTAAAATATGCTCATCCATCTGTGTGTACCTTGCAGGTGTCCATCATCTGTTTGATATTAAAGAAGAAGTTTCCCATGGATGGGGCCCGATTGAAGACTCAGACTTCTTCAAGGAAGAAGAGCAGGAACGCTGCATTGGCCAGGATGGACTGCAGGAGGAGGACACACGTGCAACAGCTCCCAGAACCTTTCCCATGCCAATATTCAGTTTTGCGTCCCGCAATGCATGGCAACGCCTCAAATTTGAACAGAGAGAAAGAATCAGATTCTGCGTGAAAACCAAGATATCTGTGAAGCAAACCTTCCAAATGCTTCAGCAAGTTTACGGCAGCAAAGCAATGAGCCGATCAAGATGCAAAGATTGGTATTTGCGTTTCAAAAATGGCAGAACATCCGTCGATGATGAGATGAGGTCAGGGCGACGCAGCAAGAGCACAACTCCCAGGCATATCCGAGAAATCGATCAACTTGTGCACCAGGATTTACGGCTCTCTATGGGGGAGATTTCTGCCATTCTCAACGTGTCGTTCGGAACGGTCCAGGCAATCCTGACGTCCACTTTGAACCTGCACCAAGTGGCTAACAAGTTTGTGCCCAGGCTACTGACTCCCGAGCTGAAGCAACATCGTTTACAAGCCTGCCAGGAGCTCCGTCAACAGACGCGAGATGACCCAACGTTCATGTCCCGGATCATAACTGGCGATGAAAGCTGGGTGTACGGCTGCAAGCCTGGAAAAGCAAGGAAGGCGAATCCGACAAGGAGCAAGTTCAAGGCCAAGCTCATCGTCTTCTTTGACATTCACGGGGTGGTGCATCGGGAATTTGTTCCCGACGGTCAGGCGGTCGATGCCCCGTTCTACCTCAGCGTTATGAC